TTTCCCGTTTACTGCACTTCAGTACCAGCACGACGCCGTTTCCAAGGGGACCAATCTGGAAAAATTACGGAAAATCCGAAAAAGAAAAGGTCTGATGATGATTGATACTTTAACCATGACGAATAAGAAAATATCATAAAAATATTTTTGCTCTCCATCCCACTTTCTCTCTCCCAGAGCTGAAACGCACACAGCTTCAGAGGGACGGAAACTCATTTTGCTTCTGAAATTTGCCTCCGAAGCGGTGGCCGGACTTTTTGATTCTGAGTTGATCTCTTTAGTTTCATCTCCCTCTCATTGTAGTTGTGAATCGAGTGCAAACATCGTTTCTTATGTAAGTTTCTGTCGAGTTTCGGATTGGATGAGGTTTTGTTTTCTTTCCTGTTTGATTTTACTCTATTTTAGTACGAGGATGTTTCTGAGATTCGGTAATGCTGAAACACTGAACAGGTGAAATCGACATTCGGTAGTCATGTTCACTGAAGGACTAGACAACAGTGCCCTAAGATGGGTTAGGGAGGTTAGCATTACAGATTTTTTTTTGCTAGTTTGATTTACATTTGTTTTTGTTTCTATTTTTGGATTTGTGTCTTACGTGAATGGGGGATGAAATCTGAATTTATCGGGTTTTGTTCTTGATTACAAGGGAGTAACATACTCGAATTCGAATCTGAGAACTAGAATGGATCCAATTACTAATATCCGTACTGGTGGCCGGGGTTTTGGATTGCCGCCAGCGTCGAAATTCAGAAGCGGACACCTGCCGTCAAGTGCAATTCCGGTTTTGAGTACACTTCCAAGGGATGCAGATGACAGTGCCTCTGTTTCTGACAATGACATGAGCGTAGAATCGGAGGAGGATGTGTACGGAGGGAAGTATTCCCTCGATTCTTCGCCGCAAGATGAAAGGGTTCCTAGTGGTACGACTCACAAATATGGAAATGGAGCTCAAAGGCGCCCGCGTTATGCCAGTGATTATATGTTTTCTGATGTTAGTTCATCAAGGGATACTATTGTGGGCAGACATGGGGATGGTGCAGAGAGGTTGGCGGGGGTCAATGGGAGATATCCGGTTGGGAGGAATGAGTATGTTGAGGATGAGTCATCAGATTCAGCTGCTAGCTCAGAGTTTTCCACTACTCAAGTTGGAAGCCTCAGTGGTGGCATGTCTCGAAGTAGAACATATGTTTCTGACGGCTATAATTCCAGCGTGCCTTCTTGGGTTAATGGCAACAATGCTGCTCGGAAGGTTTGTGTAACTTATAACTTCTGGATATAGTTTTCACTATTAGTGGATGTGCAGATAATTTATATTACATTATGATCTAAAGCATCTGCCTTTGGGTTCTTATGGTTTTGCCTTGGTGTGAGGAGCTTGTTGCACATCCAAGGGCACATTCTTTATATATGCTTTCTAAATATGACAATTCTTCAAAGAATTCATTCTTACTGGGCATCTTGGGTAGAGTTTTCCTGGAATATTGAGAAAAAAGATTTGAAATTGCATGCGATCTGGAACTTCTTGTCCTCTTCAGCCAAAAATGTCATGTACATTCAGAAAATAAAAAGATTGAAACATCCACTCCTCACTTTGAAATCATTTTAGACATTATAAGTGCCAAAATGTTGTTAGTTGATTGGAGCGATGCAAACAGAAAAGATATAAATTATTTGTAACGTGTCTTCCATCAATATTGCAAACAAAGCGTTGTAGGTTGTGAAGCAGTTTACAGGTTTATATCATATTTGAGTTTTTGGCATTTTTTACCTTTTTTTTTATCATTTGTTTTTGCTTTTGGTTGCTGTTGATGAGTTTATTTCTATTGTTCTGATTTTTTTAGTTAAGAACACTATGAGAACAATAACCTAGCTTCTTGTTTTCTATAGTTCATTATGGGTAATTTGTACTCTTTTCTTTTTCCCTAAGATAGTCTATTTTGCAGGGTTTGCATTCTAGAAAAATGCAGAATGAGAAGCTTTCAGATGATGATCTTCCCAGTGCACCACCATTTTCTAGTTCTGCCCAGGAAATTCAACAAGGTGAGCACATGCCGGCGTCTAGAATGAATGGTACCCCATCTGCGGCAAAATCAAATAAGCCAAATGCTGTAAAATCTATGTCTGGGGTTAAGCCAGAGCATAATGCCACGAACAGTAAATCTGATGAGTTTGTGAGGTTTGTACTGTAATTGTTCCCTCTTCTGAAACTTATAAGATGCACTGAAATTTTGAACCACATTAATCCCCAAAATGAACTGTAGAATCCATGTTTTGTAGCAAATTTGGTACAATAGTCATTGTAATTTTTCTGTTTGTTTTGCAGAACTGGTGCCGGTGGAGGGGCAGCTGCTGTGTCTTCAGGTGCTCCTCCAGCTCGCCTCCCAACTTTTCATGCTAGGTTTGTCTAACAAACACAATTTGTAGATGATCCTTAAAATTAACCACATACTTTTGTTGTTGGATTTTGTTCTTTTAACTAATTGGAATAATTGGTTTTTTTCACATCAATCTTCAGTGCTCTAGGGTCATGGCATGCAGTGATTACCTATGATGCATGTGTGCGGCTTTGCCTTCATGCTTGGGCTAGAGGTTGCATGGAAGCTCCTATGTTTCTTGAAAATGAATGTGCTGTGCTACGGGAAGCATTTGGGTGAGTGTTGGTTTATTTGGTTACTAAAGGAAGTGAATTAACTAAAGAGTCTTAATGCCTTTCATTCGTTTTTTTAATCATGCAGATTCTGGATTTTGTTTGTGATTGAACTGTAAAACATGCATTAGCAATGTATTGTCCAAATTTGGACACATTTTTGTATCTACACCTTAAAAATTTCTTATTGGACCATAGGTTGCAGCAAGTCCTACTGCAGTCAGAGGAGGAACTACTGACAAAGCGCTCATCAGAGCTTACAAGTGAGGCTGCTGCCCCAAAACCTAAGAAAATTATTGGCAAGATGAAGGTCCAAGGTAGTCTTTCCTGTTAAATTAATATTTTCATTATTGAAGTGCTCTGTCAATTGGCTGTCTCTAAGATCTTTTTTATGGGCAGTGCGTAAAGTGAAGTCAACTTTGGATCCGCCAACAGGCTGTAGTATTTCTTCTCTAAGGGCACCAACTATTAAACTTGAAACAATACGATTTCACCTGTCCAACTTGCAGTCAACGCTCTCTTCTAGATGGCAAGCTCTTCGAAAGATTCGTGTTACACCTCGTTTACCTGCAAATGGTTCCTTTTCACGTCACAGTTTGGCATATGTCCATGCTGGAACTCAGTACATAAAGCAGGTCTCTGGCCTCCTAAAAATTCGTGTGCCAAGTCTACGCAATACTTCAACATCATATGAAGTTATGCAAGGTATATACTTTATGATCTCCTAGTTTCTCTGGTGGGGGCTAGAAAGAGTACCATCCTGTTTTTCTGAGTCTACCATTTAACCTTCTAAATTGAAGCTTGAGGGACTCTTTCTGGTTGCACTGTGAAACATGATGTATGACAACATCATATATTCTACCACAGATGTTGTTGCTGTTTCCTATGTACTGCCATGAGTGGATAGCAATTAGCAGTTGCGTGCATGCTTGATTTGTAATTAAATTATTCTTGTTTTCTTTTTTCTTTTTTTTTTTTCCTTGTGAGTATGTTAACTTGTTCCTTTTCCTTATTTCCTTATCATCTTCATCTCATCAGAAACCTATTCTTGCATGCTAAGACTTAAAAGCTTAACTGAAGAAGATGCCATAAGGATGCAACCTGGATCTGGTGAAACACATGTCTTGTATGTAATTTTTCCCTTTTTGTTCCTCTTTTCATCAAAATTTGCTTAAGATGGGTATTGACAACTCTTACAGCTTCCCAGATAGTCTAGGAGATGATCTAATTGTTGAAATACAAGATTCCAAGGGGAAGCATTTTGGACGGGTCCTTGCACAAGTGGCTACTGTTGCTGAAGACCCAGTAATGTCTCACAATTATGATATTAATTTTAAAATGGGTTGCAATTTTAGTTTAGTTGGTAGAAGGCTTACCAGAAAGCTGGATGCAGGCTGACAAGCTGCGCTGGTGGTCTGTCTATCACGAGCCAGAGCATGAACTTGTGGGAAAGCTACAGTTATATATAAATTATTCGACAAGTAGAGATGAAAACAGCCATCCAAAGGTGAACTGATCTAAATAACATCTAGAAACACAGTTTGTCTAGCCTTTGGTCTTAGTTAATGAGGGTTGAAAATTAAAATTTAAAGGTAAACAATTGAATCAAGCTAAAATAGTATGGAATGTTAATTGGTTTTGTTTCTGGCTGTAGGGTGGTTCTGTTGCAGAGACAGTCGCTTATGACCTTGTCTTGGAGG